AACTAAATACAGTACTAGCTAGACACAAGGCACAATTAACTAAATACAGTACTAGCTAGACACAAGGCACAATTAACTAAATACAGTACTAGCTAGTCACAATCCACTAAATACAGTACTAGCTAGTCACAATTCACTTAATACAGTAATGCCTTGTGACTAGCTAGTTTGTGACTAGCTAGTACTGTATTTAGTGAATTGGTGAATTGTGCCTTGTGCCTTGTGACTAGCTAGTACTGTATTTAGTGAATTGTGCCTTGTGACTAGCTAGTACTGTATTTAGTGAATTGTGCCTTGTTCACTAAATACAGTACTAGCTAGTCATTGTGACTAGCTAGTACTGTATTTAGTGAATTGGGCACAATTCACTAATTACAGTAATAGTCACAAATTGGTTTCGTACCGTACTTGGTTTTAGTTTTTACATTTTAATTTTTTTTTGCAAACAATTTACTTACTCTGATTGCACTATAAAACTTTATGTTTTGTTTTCCTCACGTGTAGTAACATCTGATGTTACTGTATGAAACAGATGGAGTTACGTGTAGTAACATCTGATGTTACTGTATGAAACAAATGTAGTTACGTGTAGTAACATCTGATGTTACTGAATGAAACAAATGTAGTTACGTGTAGTAACATCTGATATTACTGTATGAAACAAATGTAGCTACGTGTAGTAACATCTGATGCTACATTTGTTCATAAAGTAATATCAGATGTTACTACCCGTAGCTACATTTGTTTCATAAAGTAACATCAGATGTTACTACACGTAGCTACATTTGTTTCATACAGTAACTACACGTAGCTACATTTGTTTCATACAGTAACATCAGATGTTACTACACGTAGCTATACGTGTAGTAACATCTGATGTTACTGTATGAAACAAATGTAGCTACGTGTAGTAACATCTGATGTTACAATTTGAAATAGCGGAACGGTCAAATGAATGTGTGGTTCATGTTTCGACCAAACGACCTTGACTACGATTTGATGGTGACCATTATAGAATTTTTTAATAATTTTGTTGTGTCTTGAGATTCTGTTAAAATGTTTTGTTTCAGAATTTCGCCCAAAATTACCCAAGCACTTTTACCATAACTCTAAGGTTACTGGAACTTTAAGGTTACCGGAACTCTAAGGTTACCGTAACTCTAAGATTACCGTAACTCTAAGGTTACCGTAACTCTAAGATTACCGTAACTCTAAGGTTACCGTAACTCTAAGATTACCGTAACTCTAAGATTACCGTAACTCTAAGGTTACCGGAACTCTAAGGTTACCGGAACCGTACTATCTTGAACTGTGTTAGCGAATAGAAGTTGGAATTTCTGCGCAAAAGCTTCACAAGGGCTATTAGCTTCACAGGGGCTATTAGCTCATAATTATCCCTAATTTTGAACCGATAAGCTAGAGGGAAAGCAGCCAAATAGTACTCACCGTCAACTTTTGTCTGATTGCATAGCGGGATTTGACTGTTACTCTTACAACGCACCGACGACCTAAATGTGGAAACGGGTCGCGAACTTTTAACCCTCTGATTCACAGTCCGGGCATGTTAGCCACATATGTTAAAGTTGTTATGATTCTGTAATACTTGTCTTTGTAATCAAACTATAATTTTTATGTCACATCTTCAAATAAATAACTTAGTTCTGTTGCATAGGAGACTGTGGTTTACATTTCCCTCATTAAATTTTATTCTACCATCAAACACGCGTAAGAAACAATCAAAATTTACAGTCAAGAATAATTAAAAAACATGATCCAAATTATAAAGCGTAATTAATTAAAAGAATTAATCACAAAAACTTGGAAGTTTTATTTTAAACAGTTTGCAATAATTTAACATTTTTGCATATTTACAGAACTACCGCATGAAACTGGACGTTCACTAATCTTCATTGAGATGTCTTATAGTTATAGTTTCAGGTTTACAAGCTATTGAAGGTTAATGGTATTATGCCCGGACTGTTAACCCGAGGGCTTACGATTCACATTCCTTTAACTAGAGAAAAGCGGTATAAGAATGACAGTCAAATTCCACTATTCGGTCAGACAAAAGTAGCTTAAGAGTTGACGATGTGTGCTGTTCACTAGCTGCCTTACCTATAGTCTTCTAGTTCAAAACTAAGGCTAATGTATAGACAGCCCTTGTATAGCTTTGCGCGAAATTTCTCAAACAAAACACAAATTATCAAATTCTTCCCCCTTTCAGCGGCAAGACTAAAATTTGAGGTTGGATCCTTGAAGTGGGCACAGAGTAGATAGGCTGTTGTGCAGCTTTGCGTATAACTACAAAAATTATACTTCTGTGAGTTTTTATTATCGGACATCTTGCCTGAGTTTCAAAGCAAGATGTCAAAAGTAAAAAAAAAACCTTTCAGATAGCGCCCTCTTGCCAACCACGGCAAAACTTTTTTTGTTACAACCCCCAAAACTATTGAACATTGTAGACAGTAAAACATTTTTTTATATAACAAGCTTCAGACGTTCTATTTCGGTCTTCAAAATCATTTTCTGTTTCAGGTTTTAGAAAATATTTGATCTTGTATATGAGAAAATCTTTACTGAAAGTTTTTGAAATATCAGGTTGACCTGATAGGGTAATATTTAGTGTAAAAAAGTGTGACAAAACTAAAAGCAATTCAGACCACAAAAAGATCTAAAGATCATAGTTGATTTCAACGTTTTAATACGACGAAACATGAGTAAATACATCGCTTTTCCTCTATATAGGTTTGAGACAAAAAACAAGAGCAAAAATTCCTTATTTGAGAGAAAAACACGTAACAAGGAAGTTTCCTGACTTCAAAACAGCACTTGAAACTGGCATTACGTATTTAAAACGCACGTGATATTAGGTAATTAAAACACACGTGATGTCAGATATTTGAAACTCACGTGACGTCAAATGTTTAATTTATATATGAGATTTGAAAACACGAGACAAACTGATGTAAGGACTTCACAGATGATTTAAACACTTACATAAAAAACGTTCAGTCAAAAAATGTCAAGGTTAATTAGCGGTGAGATCCAGTGATCAAAAGAATTTAAACACTTACATAAAAAACTTTAAATCAGAAGATGTCAAGGATAATCTGTAGGTGAGATTTCTTCTCTTCATCACTGGACATCACCTGCTAATTAACCTTGACATCTTCTGGTTTAACATTTTTTATGTAAGTGTTTAAATTCTTCTCTTGATCTCTGTATCTCACCTGCTGATTATCCTTGACATCTTCTGATTTAACGTTTTTTCTGTAAGTGTTTAAATTCTACTCTTCATCACTGTATCTCACTCGCTAATTAACCTTGACATCTTCTGATTTAACATTTTTTATGTAAGTGTTTAAATTCTTCTCTTGATCTCTGGTTTAAACACTTCCATAAAAAACATTAAATTAGAAGATGTCAAGGTTAATCAGCAGGTGATGTCCAGTGATGAAGAGAAGAATTTAAACACTTACATAAAAAACGTTAAATCAGAAGATGTCAAGGTTAATCAGCGGGTGATGTCCAGTGATCAACAGAATTTAAACACTTCCATAAAAAAACATTATACCAGAAAATGTCTTTCAGTCAAATCATTTTAGACATCGTCACCATGTGGCATTCCACACCTTAACTTACGACATCAAACAAAAGAAAGTTTTTGTTTTTTTCTTCAGCTTGTGAAGAAGCTAGGAAAGAGAACAATAGATATAAAAATATTTGATAAATGTGTTACAAAATCAAACTACATCAAACCTTGAAACTAAAATACAATGGTATTAAAGGTATCACAAGTTTCTTGTAAAAATGGCGAAGGTTTGTAGAAGCTGTTTCCGGGGGAAATGTTCAAACTAGTATTATATACACAGTTGTCTTTTAAATTACAGTGGATAACTTGACAGAACTCTGAGCTAAAATATAAGATTTCTGGCACCGTTATTACACAATAAAACATGTTACTTTATTAACATAAACTTATATAATCATGCAAATTTGACTGTAGTTAGGCGAGACAAAATTTTCTCTTCTTTCCTATACACAATAATATTCTATAATAGTTAATATAAGTAAATATATAGGCTTCAAGACACGCTTACATTATATACACTATAGTTAACAATACAACAAGAACACGATTTCATGTTAAGCTCTTGCTCATTAGCAGCTTTCAAGAGCGTAGCTTCCCTAAAAAAGATTTTCTTATGGATGTACCACTGGAAGGTGATGTCGCATCGACAAATATAAAATAGGCCAGCCGTAATTGAACTGATGTTAGGCTTAAGTTGCTTTAGGCCTGTTTCATATCGCATTAACAAGCATTGCCGTAATTGACGTTAGGCTTACGTTGCGTTAGAACTGTTCGCACTCGCGAACATATCGCGTTAGCGAGCATTGCCGTAATGGATGTTAGGCTTAGGTTGTCTTAAGGCTATTCACACTAGGGAGCATGATATTCGTTTGATGAAAAAGACTTGTCATAACTGATGCCAAACATAAGTTGCTTTAGACCTATTTCACAGTTGTTAATGTGATAAGACGTTGTAATGAGCATCCACGCGAAAATGCTTTCTAGGTAATTTTCAGAGTGAACAATAATATAAAGGTACTGACTTTGTGCGCGCTTGGCAAAAAGATGAAAGAAGTGGAATCAGACCGAGGCTTAAACAATCGAAGATCACAGACAAATATTTTATGTAGAAGTGTCATAAAAATAGAAAAATATTTAATTTTTTTCGAAACAGAAGAAATGTTTTTTCTTCCATTATAGGGAATAAAATTTGTATTTAAAACAGAGTATTATTTTAATATATAATTTATTTTTATATTTTGAAGATCTAAAACTATTGTTTATATTGTCTAAAGTGGACAAACTATAATAAATATCGCAAACTATAGGCCTGAATGAAATCAACGACAATAAATGTCTATTTTTGTGTTTTCAAAGCTATTTGGTATTAAAACAACTAGCCATTTAAAATTTCATAAGAAACGTTTTCTAGTTGGCGTTTCTTCGTTTGTACAGGACTATATTAGTGAAATCACTTATAAGTAGATGACTTTGAACCTTTTGTAAGGTAACTACAAACAGAAACAAACGTTTTCTCAAAATATATAAACATCGTTTTGCTCACACAAAATGTACATTTTCTCACGGTTAAGTTGACTTCTTTCAAACTATTGGTACATCGATCGTTATTCATTAAATCAATCTTCTGAAATTGAAACAAACAAACTGAATATATTAAAACTAACTATCCAATATGATATGGCGCTGGTAACAGATCATATTTTTTAAGCAAAAAAAGTTCAAGAAAGACTGAGGTTATCCATACCTAAACTTCTGCTTTTAATTCAGGCAGTCTTGTTAATACATTTTGCACAGAGAATCAGTCAGAATTGTTATTTTTCATTATATTTATAAATTCCTGTTAAAAACATAAGATGGCAGATAAATTGTGCGAGACATTAATGTTTTAACATTTAAACAAAAAAGGTCTTTTGAGTTAAAACGATTGAATCAGACCTTTTTTTTTCAAACGTTAACAGTTATATACAATCAATAAACAAATAATCTGTTGTGTTTTAGGACAACAAGTGTAAATGCTTTCTTTACAAACTCAGAAGCAGAAGTATTTACTGAGCCAATGTTAAAAATTTGGTAGCGAAGAAGGGGCCTGAGGCACAGATTGTGGCTTAATCAAGGCATGGCCCCCTAACGGGAACTGATGCTCAATCAGCTACACGGGTAAAAAGAGCACCCTCAGACCCTTACTTTCCAGTTTTCAAATACTTGTTCGTTAAAGTCCGAACGGTCATCAAACATGGTTTGATAATATGGACATCTCTTTCTGTCTAAAGGTCAAGTTTACTGTAAGGCGGAAGTGGTCACTGACACAGTTTCTGACGGGGAGAAAGAGCTGCTAGGAACCAGACTTGAGGAGGGGTCATCCTGAGAAAGTTCACTTCTGCTACTTGGGCCCGCACCCTCGCTAGCCTGAGCCTGTGTGGCCGATCTCTTCTGTTTCTGCTTCAAGTGAACCTTGGTGTGTCGCTTCTTCTCGTCGCTTCGAGCGAACCTGCGGCCGCACAAATCACAGGAAAACGGCTTCTCACCAGTATGTGTGCGAATATGTGTAGTTAAGTGGTCACTCCTACTGAATGACCTCATACAGATCCGGCATTGAAAAGGTTTTTGACCAGTGTGGATCCGGATGTGGCGGGTCAGTTCATCGCTGCGAGAGAACCTCCGGTCGCAAGCTTCTAATGGACAAGCATAAGGTCGTTCGTGGACTGGCGTCTTGCTAGGCCTGTTGGGGTACTTGCGTTGTTTCACAGGCACCAGCTTGAAAGGAATTGGGCTAGACTGATAAGCCTGGCTGAGAATCTCGTGTCCCTTACTAGTGGCTTGGTTGTATTCGGCTAGTCCTTGCCCAGGGAGAAAGCCGGCTTCAGGGACAGGTTCTTGTTTTGGAAATACAGTAGATGAGCCCGCTTCGAGATGAACAGGTCCGTAATCAGGCGTGTTAAAAACCGGGGTGGTCCATTGTCCTGAGGTGGATGCTAGTTCTATCCCTTGTTGGAAGATCATGGACTGTGGAGGCATTCCCCCAGCAGCTGCTACGAGAGCCGCGACGTTCCCCTCAGGACCAGTGCAACTGCCATACACAGGAGACTGTTTCACGGTAAATCCCTGACCACTGGTGTCAAACTGTAACAGTTCCTGTTGGCCCTGAGGGCTAATGAAGAAATGTTCTTGAACCATTGTTTCTGCTAGAGGATGAGGTGGTGCAATGATCGTCTCAAATGTTCCGTGGGTGGGAGAAGCGGAGAAGTGAGAAGAAGGAGCAGGCGAAGCTGTTCCCTGACCAGGAGGTGGTGGTGGCGAAACCGTGTGAGGACTGGATATATTTAGAAAAGGACCGAAGTCTGATGCTTTCTCAGGGTCCAGCCACCCTAGAACCTGACCCTGACCTCCCTGCTGGGCGGGAGGGGTTGTACGGTTATACGAAAGACTTTGAGATGTGGCGGTTTGCTGTGGGGAGCTACTGGGGAACATCCCTTGATCAGGCTTCTCGGTAGAGGGGACCACCGCCTCGGCTGTGTAGAAAATTAAAAATATTTGTATTATTAACTCTGTGTTACAAAAATGTCCTATCATTTTAAATGAATTCAACTTAATATTGGCAATTCTTCAACTTACTCTGTCAGTACGTAACTCGGTGAGCGTACCTGGCCGCCATTAATACTCCGCCCTCACTTCTTTACGTAAGAGTACAGTTAGCCAATCACATTTGCACACTGATTATATCAGCCTGGGAAAACTAGTTTTATTACACTTTTTTTCTCGTATACACTTTATTTACATTTTGAACTAACTTAACAAAAGAAAAAAAGTCACAGGTCCTCATATAGATAGCAAACAAATATAAAACATTGTCTGTTATAGCGATTGGGTCCTAATTAAGAATAAAGAGTGTTTAATTTGTTATTTATATAAATATCTGCACAGTTGCCGCATAAGAAACAACGAAGCCACATCGTACGTCACACACGCGCTCTAGCAAATTATTGTTCAGGTCTATTTCCATCTATTTCAGCGACAGGAGTTAACGTGTAAATCGCGACGGTGTTTGTTTGTGTGTGTGTGTGTGTGTTTGCTAACTTGGAGAAAATAGTGAACTGGGCGTCGTTGCTTTTAAGGAGCTGTCATGCCAAGAAGACCGAGATCATAAATGGGTTGATTATATGAGCTTCACA